AACTTTCAGGCTTGCATTGCTGAAAATGAAGCAGATAGGCATGTTTCAAACTTGCAGGTAAATTGCAATTATTGGACAACTATCAATATATATAATAATTTTATATTTATTTTATTTTTTTACGATTTATTAATTTTAGTTACATCAATTTTCACGGCAATCATCCAGTGTTTCTTTTTGTGGCTTAGCTTAGCCTCATGCAGTAGCGTAACAACAGCTCCTGTTAGCTAAAGCCAGAGGCTCCAAACTTTACAAGGACCCCAGGGATATTTATCAGCGTTTTGCCTCATATATTACATATATACAGAACACCAACAAAAATACTTCTCAACTGTTTAGATATTCATCCAGTTAGAAATGTGCTACAGTATGCCACATACGTTTTATCTTTATTCTCTACTCTTCAGGGGATACCTGTTCTTGGTAGGATAGGGGCTAATGACAGAACTGTTCATCCATTTTCTCTAAGGTATTTCATCATTAATTCATAAGTTTACACAACAAGATGAAAAAAAAATAGACAGCAGCTTTTCAGGCTAAGCCATGCCTGCGCATAGAGACCTGGTTTATTTGTGCTATATAAATCCATCTATTATTATTATTATTATTATAACTGTGTGCATACATCATTATCCGTAACAAAAAGAAGAAGAACGGTCTTCAATTCATCTTCCTAACTGTTTAAAATGTCAAACATTGAAGATGATCCATGGTTGCAGAGATGGTGGCCCCTCTGACAATTTCCTTCTTTGTACAAGCTTAGACCCCTGACCTCCAATGCCACGATGAGATTTTCTGACTAAAGATATTTTTATATTTCTGATACAAATTTATTGTGATTGCCAATCTTTATAAAATAGGACAATTTTGTACCATCCAAAACTGTAATATGAAAACCCCACCAGAGATTAATTTTTTCGGGACTTGGGAGAGGTTCGGATCCTCCTGTTTGACTTGTTGGACCTCCTGTCAATGAATTTCTGAATCCACCAATGCATTTATCTCTTGGTTTTAATACTTAAAAGAATTATTTTCATGTGTAAAATAAAATAGATTTTTTTATGAAGTTTAGTTGATGGTAGCAATATATATCAAAAACCTGTTGTGGGGTTGCTTTTCATTTTGTTTTTTAAAACAACCAATTATTTTTGTACGTTCTTAATACAGTATATAGATATTTTTTAATGAGTTTTGATAACTATGATTGTAAAATTGCAGCTATTTTAATAATTGGTTCCTTTTGGCACCGGTTTTTTAGGAGGATGTACAGACGATTGAAGGAGGAGAATGTGAATGTAACATACAAGGAGTTACCTGGAAAAGAGCATTGGTGGTGGGATACCTGGTAAGATTGCTAATTGATTGATTGATTGAATGATTGAATCATTTGTTCATTAATCATAGTATGTTTGTTTGAATGATTAAATTGATTTATTCAATGATTTATTGAATAATTGATTCGTTGATTCATCCAGTCATGTATTCCAGTGGCGGATCCACAAATTCAAAATAGAGGGGCCCAGGGAGGGACTTTTACATATAGAGGGTCCACCTCAGCCCCACAATGGTTGGGGTTAAGGTAAGAAACGTTATGATTATGACACTCTAGATGACTTGTAAGGGCACTCCCAGACTTCAATTTGAATATGGGTGCCTGGTAGGGTTAAATACCAAAATGCTCTGATGTAGCTGTTGCAACTTTATGGAACAGTTTGTGTTCCATAGGCATCTAATCCAATGACCGGGGATAGTAAAGTGAAGCGCTTAGAGGCCTTGTTGGCATTAAGCGCTATATAAATATAACGTGTTATTATAATTTATTTTTTTCTCCATTTTAAAAAGTAATTTTGAAAAATTGCACCCCTC